ATACTTCACGATCCGGTTATTCCACACTGTACGGTTATACATCACGATTGGTTATTTCACACGATTCGGTTATACATCATGATTGGTTATTCCACACTGTACGTTATACATCACGATTCGATTATTCCACATTGTACGATTACACACCACGATTCGGTTATTCCACACTATACATTTACACACCACGATTCGGTTATTCCACACTGTACGTTTACACACCACGATTCGGTTATTCCACACTGTATGTTTACACACCACGATTTGGTTATACATCACGATACGTTTCCACTTGTTACACACTCAATCGTAGTTAGATGTATGTCTGTGCTTGCATAGGTGCATATAAACAATGATTGAAGGACTTAGGAAGGCTTGTCCGCCCTATTTCCTTTTCTTCGTTGAGATGTGGTTTGGTGGGATCGGATGGCCGTCCGAAGGTCGTTTGATTCATTAGTTATATGTTATGTGTACGAGCATATATATATAGGTTTACTCTAGTCAGACCAGTTTTGAGTCTCTACTTCTAATTCAGCACTTACATATGAAACCCACTACCCACTATTAGGGATGCATCTTCGGGACACGGCCTTCTCCGTCGTCTAGTTGGTAACCAGAGTCTCCTGTAAGGAGAGCGGACATTGTGTGTATAGATCTATACGGGATTGACACCCCCGCACCCTGACTGCTAGCTACAGTCCACGGCTAACCAAACCAAGGGGTGACAAATGTCATATTTTATAGACGATTGTAGGGCATCAGGTACTCTATTGTTGGTTAGTATGGTTACGAGTATCCCAGGTTGCCTTACAATTCAAGGCCTTAAGGTAACGGTATTTCACCAACAATTTACATTGTATGCTGGAGACCCATTCTCAGAGTCACACTGTTTTTAGACCTTGCTAGCTGTATCTTTCTTTTGATACTGTCTGCGGTCTGTATTCTCTGTTTAGACCTTGTCAGTTGTACCTTTCATTCGGTACCGTCTGGGGTCTGTGTCTCTTTCTGTTAGACTGAGCTAGGCATGTCGTTCATTCGATTCTCTCCTGGAGTCTATGATTCCTTTGCCTTAGTCAGCAGTCCTCACTGCTGAGGCATATGTTATTTCCCTGAATTCTCCTGCTTTCTTAATAATCAAATTCTGTATTTTGATAATGATAGCGATTAAGGGAAAACTACCTTTTTACCACATAACTCCGTCCAGTCTTGGTAGAAGACTACTTTTATTAAAGAAAATATAGGATTTTCTGGAAAAGACACTAATGTAATAGATACACTGAAACTACCACTTTCATTAAAGTTATTTGGATAAAATGACACTTAATACTTATGAACTCCCCAACATTTGTAAAAATGCTGATACTCGCTTTTCAAATAACTTGTATTCTCAGGTTAGCATTAGACAGGTACATCCCCGGAGCTGTTGATGAAGATAGCTTAGTGCCATGTTGTACTTACTTATATTTACTTCTATTACTTTGATGTATTGTAATGTAAACCATGTAAAACTATCACTATTAATGCAATGTTTTGTTGTACTTTGATTACTATAATGCATGTGTTGTGATACTTGACTTGAAGTCATCCACCCCAGAACGTTTCCGCCGTTCCGGTTTTGGGGTGTGACACCCGTGCACTATGTTTCGAAGCCAACTTACTGAAGGTATTTTGGGGTGAGTGCATCTTAACTGCCACATACCTTATAAATCGAATGCCTACCAAGGTGCTTAAAGGAGTCATGCCATACGAGGTACTTTTTAATCAAAAACCTGGATATGAACATATGAGAGTATTTGGGTGTTTGGTTTGTTATAGAAATACGGAAACAGGAGGTGACAAATTTGAGGCTCGAGGTAAACCGAGTTTATTTGTAAGGTACCCCGGGGAGTAAAAGGATAACGGGTGTATGACATGGAAAAAAGGAAAATAGTTATTTCTAGATATATTCGGTTTCTAGAAGATACATTTCCTATGGCTTCTGATTTGGCTAGCAAAAGTGTAACGCAAGATGATATGTTTGTGCTTGAGGATAAATTGGAGACATCTAATATGATGCGTAATCACGAATCCGTACGACATGTGGAGTAAGGCAGTGATGTCATTGAGGATACTATGGTTGATCTTTGTGTGCCCCATGGGTCTGACTTCGAATGTGTGCGTCTGACTCCCATACACACGGAACCCTCTTCGCAACATTCTTCTCCCATTCCTGTAGACACGAATGGCGACCTGATTCATAAAGCTCCTCGAGTACGAACTTGGCCTTTAAGGTTCAATGATTATGAAGTCAACTTACCCCCGGTCGTCACTCATCCCCCATCTGCCTCCGATCATGTTGCATCTACGGTACATCCCCTCTCCGATTTTCTTTCTTATAAATTTTTTTCAAAGGAACACAAAGCTCTTTTAACAGCCATGGTTACACACTATGAGCCAAAATCCTTTAAGCATGCAGCAAAAGATGAAAGGTGACGTTTGGCAATGAAAAAGGAGATTAGTGCTTTGGAAGCAAATGATACTTGGGTTCTAGTTGCTCTTCCCCCTGGCAAGCATGCTATCGAATCTAAATGGGTTTATAAAATCAAGGTTAAATCAAATAGCGAAGTAGAGCCATACAAAGCATCACTCGGCGCAAAAGGGTATACTCAATGGAGGGTGTAGATTATCATGACACCATGGCACCAGTCGCCAAGCTGGTCACTGTGAGGATTTTACTCACCATGGCAGTCAAAAACAACTGGATCATACACCAGTTAGATGTAAACAACGCATTTCTGCATGGAGATTTGGAGGAAGAAGTCTATATGAAAATTCCTCAAGGCTTTGGAAAAGAAGGCGATACAAGGGTTTATTTACTTGTGTGGCTTGAAACAGGCAAGTCAGAATTGGTATCACAAATTCACTTCTGCCTTACGTGAGCTTAATTTCCAACAATCTCATGCAGATCACTCTTTGTTTATTTATAGAAATAAAGAATTCTTTGTTGCAGCTTTGATCTATGTTGACGATGTGATCATTGTTGGCAATGATCCTAAGCAAATTGAACACACAAAATCCAGTCTCAATAATCGGTTTAGTATTAAAGATCTTGGCAGTCTAACCTATTTCTTGGGTATTGAAGTATCACATATAAAAGAGATTCTTGTTCTTAGTAAACGAAAATATACTCTTGACATACTTGATGATGCAGGTATGCTTGGGTGTCGGCCTAGTAAATTTCCCATGGAACAAAATTTAAAGCTAGACAAAGGCTATAAGGAAGAAAAGGTGGATGCCAGTTTGTACCGACGTTTCATTGGAAGATTGTTATATTTGCAAGCTACTAGGCCAGATATTACTTACTCGGTAAATATCTTAAGTCAATTTGGGTCAGATTCTCGTCAAAGTCATTGGAATGCAGCGTTGAGAGTTTTACGGTATCTAAAGGGAACTCTAGGGCAATGGATTTTGCGACCAAAAAAAGGCACACCTGAGATGTTAGCTTATAGTGACTCTGGTTGGCTGGGGTGTCCCATTTCTAGACATTCAAGAACCAGCTACTTATTACTTTTGGGTGGTGCCCCTGTCTCTTGGAAATCGAAGAAACAGTCAGTTGTATCTAGATCTTCGGCTGAGGCCGAGTACAGCACCATGGCGACTACTGTTAGTGAAGTACTTTGGGTTAGATGGTTACTCTTTGAACTTGGGGTTCAAATCACCTTGCCTACTCCTCTCATGTGTGATAACGAGTCTGCGTGTCATATTGCACATAATCCAGTTTTTCACGAGCGTACTAAACATGTCGAGATGGATTGTTTCTTTGTCAAGGAAAGAGTGGAGTCCAAAGAAATTACTCTGGTTCCTGTTTCTTCACAAGCTCAGCTAGCCGATTTACATGCTAAACCTCTTGGTTCAGACAAGTTATAGACGCTATTGGTCAAGTTGAACATTCGTAATCTCCATGTGTCAACTTGAGGGAGGGAAAGGGATTGACTTATTTTGGTGCTTATCTTATGCGTGTCATTATCTTTATTAGTTATTATCTTTGTTTAGTCCGTATTATTTGTTTTGGTAGTTCGCTTTATTTCAACACTATTTATTTGTGATTCCCTTTCCCCTGTAACCTCTAGTTTCTTGTTTGAAAACTTGACGGCATCAATTTCTTTTTGTCCATTACTACTTTATACAAGATCTTTAGTAACTTTACAATAAGTTTTTGTGATTTGTAGGGCCTCTTCTTTTTACTTTTGCTCCAGGCATTAAGTATGCTTGGAGGTCTTGTATTCCTCTCATACCATAATATTTAATGCAAGTATTTTTGTGGGCTTTTCAAGATACATTGCGTACCAGATTTACATAGGCTGGCCGAAGGTCTAATATATATATATATATATATATATATATATATATATATATATATATATATATATATATATATATATATATATATATATATATATATATATATATATATATATATATATATATATGTGGGCTACATAATAAACTTACCCACATAATACATAATGGACAATTGCAGAGACAATAACAAACCAAACTATCATTACGTACTCACCCTTCACGCCTACTTCCAATTTTAAATTCATTCGACCAATGTTTATTATAAATGGATATATTATACTATTATATTCTAATATAAATTACAACAAATACCAAATTAAGTAGTTCATAGTTGTAAAAAAGAATCATACTTAAGTACGATAGCTAGTTAGACTTTGATTAAGTAAGTCGCCAAAATAATATTAAAAATAATATTTATTTATCCTTGAGGAAAGAGTCGATAATTTTCATTTTAAAAAGTATCTATGTGTCGAAAAGTCGTCGGTATTATGCACAGTATCTCCGTTCTCCACTCTCAAGCCATATATAATGGAGGCGACGAATGGGAAATAGAAACAAAAATCTTCCAACTCATGGCGGTGCAACAAGGCGGAGAAGTGAAAGATTAAGAAAAACGTAAGCTGCTTGCTGGCGGCGATCAAAAATATATAATGGATGTTCAAATGATCGGCGACTTCCCGGAAAGCAATATTATCTTTTCCGATGATGAAGATTTTGAACAAGATTATGAAGAAGTACCATTCCTTGTACGTAGATCTGCATGCATGTCCAGAAGTGAGTTTGTTCGTAATGTTAAAGAAAACCCAGATATCTGGTGCGACACAAGTAGACTTCATTTATTTAGTGTCACTCCTTTTGATGTCTTCGGAGATGATGATCTCAGTGGAATTGATAGTTATGGTGGTGGTGAAACGGTGGCCCAAAGAATGGAGGAGGGTATGGGTAACGGCGGTGCTGGGGTTGATATTGGTGGCGGTGATAGTGATGGTAAAGTTGCAGGTTTTGAGCGATCAAAATGGTGGAAGAGGTTGTGGGCCTGGTGTAAAAAACTAACAAATAAATACATTAGACGCCGTTCAAAAAGGTAAAAATAATAAGAATTCTTAGATTACATGCACATGCTGATTTTTTTTTGTTACGTACTATTCTGTATTCAGTTAAGTTATCTGCATCATATTGACATATTCGTAAAGACTTTCGAACTTATATGATGTTTACGGAAAAATATGTTAATTCAATAATGAGGAATTCTTTGCAATGTATTTGACTTATTAAAATTTGTTTCTATATCAAACTAATTATGTTGGCAACGGTAAAAGGTTAACCTCAGATATAAATATTAAAATTTGTAAAACATTTCGTGTATATATATATATATATATATATATATATATATATATATATATATATATATATATATATATATATATATATATATATATATATATATATATATATATATATATTACTCCTACCTGGGAAAATATGTTTAAATATTATTTATAATTGTCAACACATTCTTTCTCACACAGACAATAAATAAATAGATAAATAAATAAAAACTTACTTTTAGCGACGACGACACTCGTCACAATTGAATACTAAAATTACCTTAGCGACCACATGTCATCTTAAAAGAGTAGCCCCTATTACTTTTTCTCTAATCCTCATTAATAGATGAAGATTGTTTTACCAAATGTTAATGTCTAATGAGTTTTGACACTTATCATTTTATTGTATTTTTGAAATAAATATTATCTAATTGTAAATTTTTAATTTGTTTTAATTTTTAAAATTAAAGTATTTGAAGAGAAGAATTGTATTTATTGCAATTTAATATCATATATATATTAAATTTCAATAAATATAAGTCTTCTTTTCAAATTTTAAAGTTGCATATTAAAAAATATTTTTTATTTAGATTTTAATTTAATATTTAATCTTGTTTTAAATCAACATGTATAATACACAAGTCTCACACCTAATACTTATATAAACGTAGCTATTAGGGTCGTCACTAAAAGAGTTGGTCGTCGCAAATGGCGGCGTCGTTATACCGGCCAGAGTTTTTCCGGCAAGGTTGCCGAAGTAATCGGTCGTCGAATACGAGTACGTCATCGCAAATGCATGTCGCTGCTAATCCTATTTTATTTGTTTTAAATATAAATATTATATTTTATATAATGTATATTATAAAAATGCATAAACTATCACTACTAGAAAATGAGATATCAGTGACCGGAAATTTTCATAGTTAATCAGCAACGAATTTGCTAGAGATTAGCGACGGATATTACAAGGCTCCATAAACCCTAAATTCTACTCTATAAATCAAGATAGATCCCTTTCTAATTTCCAATTCCCTCCTATAGTCATTTTCGTTGATTTTCAATTCCCTCTCAATATTTTAGTTCCCCCCGATGTCTCCCTCCAAAATTCTCCAATTAAAACATTTTACCCTAATTTCAACCTGCCACCCTACCCCCAACATCATCGATTCTGGCCACCCCCTTGCCCAACATCATCGATTCACAACTCTAGCTATGTTTTCTACATTCACTTTCAAGAGTGTTCTAATCTATATGTCTGGATATGTGCGATGACTAAGGAAGTTACGATTTCAAACGAGTTTGGGGTACGGCGTAAGAGCAATTATTTTAACACCCCCAACCTCATCGATTCCGACCACCACCCGCCCCAGCACCGTCAATTCACGATTTCAGGTACATGACTAGTTTTTCATTGAGGCGACGATGGGTTTCCCAGTCTCTATATGCCCTAATCAGACATTCGCTTTGCCTAAATATATATGTTGATTGTTGATATTTGATATTAAACATTTTTACAAGAACATGGATTGAGAAATCATTTCAACAACTTCAAGAAGACAAGAAGCGGCCATGTCAGGAGGTACAACCTTCAATTGTTTATATGGTTTTTTACATTTGAGTTAATTTGGACAAATTTTCCCTTATGTTAATGTTAATTTTTGGAATTAGTATTGGCACTTGGTACCCATGTAGTTATGCTTTTACATTAGTTTTACATGTATAAAAAATGTTTTGGACATTTAGTTCAGTGCAAATGCATATTAATGATTTTCTGGCTTCCAATTATGCATCCCAAAGAATGGATAGATTTGGTTTCATCTCTAGAACTTATATTCTTTCTCTATCACTAAGTAAGTTTTATTCATTGCTATATATATATATATATATATATATATATATATATATATGGTTTCATGGAAGTCTGGTTGGTTCAGGATCATAAATGAACAAATAAGGCTTTACCATGCTCTATAGGTTGATTGCTTTCTGTTGCAGAATGTGTGCATGAGGCGGAAATGTTATAACTACTAGTTTCTTTACTCTTTATTCATTTATAGCAACATATTTTCAATTACTGATTTTATTAAACCAATATACACACACACACACATAATCCCACCTATAAATAGAAATGCAAAACAAACATTATACTTTGAAATGGTACCCCTTTATATCACTCTACTCTCAAAGTGCAATGCTCTAATAAGAAAACAAATTTTAAAACTTATGTAAAACATTTTACAAACATCCAAGTCTTTATCTTAGTGAATTAATGGTTTATTTTCTTATTATCTTGAATATTATTTTCAGAATGAAATTCGGAAGTTGGATCATATATTATTCGGTATAGACTCCAAATCATTCACCCGAGATGGAAAACCAGTGTAAGGTCTCTTATAAGTTATAATTGTAAACTAACAAGTGAAAGATATATAATGACTAAGGCTTCATATTATTATCAAAGAGAAGTACAAATACAATGAAAGGGAAATACATAATATATAGACTACCTAATTAGGGTTTCCTAGCGAAAATGCCCAATCTTAAAACCAAATACAAAATAAAGCCCAAAATCTTATTAGGCTAGCATCCCTCCTCAAACTTACAATGCAACAGCAATAACCTGTGAGAGCTTTTCAGGCAGAAAATGGAATTAAGGAGGAATCAATAGCTTTGTGAGAATATCAACAATCTATTAAGAGGAAGGAACATAAGGAAGGGAGATAGTTCCCTTCTAGAGATGATGACGTGTGATATGACAACTAATCTCAATGTGCTTTGTGTGCTCATGAAACACTGAATTCTTGGCAATCATTATCGCACTCTCATTATCAAAATACAAAGGGGTAGGCTGAGAGATGTGAACGCCCATATCTGCAAGAAGCCATCTGAAACAAACAATCTCACAAGTGGAGATAGCCATGGCTTGATACTTAGGTTTTGTACAAGATCGAGAAAACAACATCTTGTTTCTTGCTTTTCCATGATATCAATGAATCTCCAAGAAAAACATAATACCCATTAGTGGACTTACAATCATAAATATCACTATCCCAATTCACATCACTACAGGCATGCAACTCAACAGAGGATGTAGATAGAAACATAAGAGTGCAGAACTAAGTACCACATAAATATCTTAAAATATGAAGAACAGCTCCCCAATGAATAGTAGTAGAAGCAGTGAGAAACTGGCTAACCACATGAACTGCATGAGCAATATCCGGTCTAGTGATAGTCAGGTAAACCATACTCCTAACAATGGTAAGATAAAGGCTTGGATATGATAATGGGACACCATTAGTTGGAGAGTACTTTGCATTCCTCTCTATAGGCGTATCAATTGTTCGATTATCCGTGAGTGATACACATTCAAACAAATCTGAAATATACTTCATTTGAGATAAAAGATAACCCTTTGGAGATTGGGAAACTTCAATCCCCACGAAATAACGTAACAATCCAAAGTCTTTCATAGAAGAATGGTGAGTTAAATCACGCTTTAAAGACTTTATACCATCATGATCATCACCAGTAATAATCATGTCATCGACATATAAGGAAAGAATAATCTGACCATGTAACATCCGTCTCTTGAGGTATTATTTAAATTATGTAATTGATATTAGTTTTGGACAAACAATGGGACAAATGGACTTTTGGAGTGGACCTTAGTAGAATGAGCCAAGAATTTGGGCTGCCCATAAGTCATACGTTGGGCGTAACTTGGCGTACGCGGGGCGTAGAGGTGCCTAGGATTCAGGGGGCGCACACATGTACGCGCAGTGAACATGATCAGATGCAAAACCCTAATTTTTAGGGTTTAGGACATATAAATACCTAATTATAGCCACCCCTGTCCTCCTTACCAGTCCCTCACCCTCAGAAAACCCTAATACACCCTCCTACTCCATTGTTGTGTGTGTTTGATCTTTTGAACTCACTTTTGGTGAAGAAAAGCTTGCAAGAAGTGAAGATGAATGGAAGAAGAAGAACTTGATTATCTTGAGCTTAAGGATTTGGAAACACATCATATTTTGGCACTCAAAGGATGTATAAAGCTTCTATCTTTCCTCCTAGAAGCTTAGATCTAAGGTTTTGAAGCTATGGACCTTTTTAGATCCAAAGGATGGACCTTTATCATGCAACTTCGATTTTGAGCTTAGGGTTGCCACCCTTGGAGCTCAAATCCTTCCTTTAGTAGTAAAGTTTCAACCTTTAAGGCCTTTATGTAACCATGCGTGAGATGTAGCCATTTTTATGGAGTTAGTTGCTATTATTTTATGTTTGGGCTCATTTGGTGGGTTGAAAACCACCAAGTGATCGACTTTATGGGTTAAGACGAATTATTGGACTCAGATCTGTAGTTTGGATGTACTGTATTAAGGGATTAAGGAGCTTTGAATAAAATGGCCTAACAGGGGAGTACGCTGGGTGTGCACGCCAATACGCGCAGCGTACATGCTATACAAGTTGTACATGCTGCATACAGAAGAGTATGCTCAGCGTAAGCTCAGATTCTGGTTTTTATGATATTGGGCCTCGGTCTGCGCGAAGCTTTAGATTTAGTAGATGTTAGGCCCTGATGGGCGCCCAGGAGCCAGTTAAGGACCCATAGAGTTGTTTGGGTTTAGCAGGAAAGACCCTTTGAGGAATTGGGCCAAATAAAGAAAATTGGGCCATTTGAAAATTTTAATGGGCCTTAGTGAATCTGGAAGTACTAGAAATGGATTGGGACTAAGTCATGGTCCAATGTA